TGACATCTGAGCAACCCGGGAAGTGAGTACTCATGAGGAGCTCCAGGGATTCTTGGCTGCTCTCTGCGAAGGTACCGTCCTGGCTGCGGAGCAGGCCTGGTGTGGTGGGTGCCTTCGACAGTACGCGTCGAAGCCTTGAGGCCTCAGTGGTACTATCTATGGCATCGCAGAAGGCTGCCCATGATTCCCTTTTCGCCCTCCTACAGGTGTTTTTGTAGGTATTGAAGCTGCGGCGATACTCGTCCCAACTTTCCTGTGTGTTTGTCACTTTTGCTTTATTGAAGAGTTTCCTCGATTCCTTTCTGACTTCGCTCAACTCCCGTGTCCACCACGGGTTGTGATTGGACTTTGGGGGTCGGCTGATCAGGCAGGATTTGAGAAACGCCATCTGTAGAGCATTAGTGACGGTGGGTCTGTCTTAAAAGGCAACGGTATTTGAAACCTTCCGGTCGGTAGATTGCAGACATTGGCTTTGAAAAACTCTTCGCATGCCAGCTGCTCTGCCGAATTTGTTTGAGCATGTTTTTCTTCTGGCGTTGCATCTATCTCCCACAGTCTTTCGACCATTTGAGACAGAGAGTCTTCTTCCGGTGAGTAGGTTGCGACGCAGCAAGCGGCTTCTCCAGTCAGAAGCTTGCTACACCGACCTGAAGCTACCCAACCTAAAAGGGTCTTTTGCAACAATGGTGCCCCTTCACCCAGTTTTATTTGGCCTGTGCACAACAGATCGAAGAACGAGTCTGCTCCAATCAGCATATCTACCCTTTGAGGTCGATGGAATGCTGGATCTGCCAACTCCACATTCGCAGGAATTTTCCACTGCTTAATGGGCAGACTTCTGTCAGGCTGCTGATTGTTAATTCTGCTAAGAACCCAGAAATCTGCTACGAAACTATGGTTATTTAACCTGGAGTATATTGTCGTCGAGACTTCAATCCTCAACACCGAGCTTGACTTGCCTACAGATGTCACTGTCAGGCAACGGTTGACCCTTGCCAACCTTAGCGATTGCGCTAGACTTTCTGTCATGAAATTGACCTGTGAACCCGAATCCAACAACACTCTTGCTAAGTGAACTTGGCCAAATCTGTCCCGAACTCTTACCACTGCTGTGGCAAGGATGACATGCTCGGGCTCACTGGATGCCTGCTTCACCTGCGCAGGATGGGACGATGCTTGTACTCCTATTGCCTGACTTTCTGAATCTGCGCTCTGAGCTGCGTATCTATGCAAGAGGGTGTGATGCCTCTGTGAACAAACTCTGCACTTAGAGGATGTGCACTGAGATACCCTATGTCCAGATTGGAGGCAATTAATGCATAATTGCTTGCCTTTTGCGAAATCGAAACGCTCCAAGACGGGTATTGCCCCAAATCCCTGGCAGTTTCCGATCGAATGGTTGGCGCCGCAATATACACACTTGGGGTCGATCGACTTTTCGGCCCTCGCGCAAGAAAATGACGATCTGCTGGTTTTCTTGCTGGTCGACGGCATGTCAAACTTTGGTTTGCCTCTCGCTTTGGATGACTCCTCTGCTGAAAGGTGTTGGTACCGGCGGTTCAACATTTTTGCACAATCCGACCAGCAAGGGAGCTCATCGTAGTTCAGCTGCTCCTCAAACTTTGTTTTTGTGTATGGGTCCACCTTGGATAACACCAGATGTATTATCATGGCGTTAGCAACCTCTCGCTCGTCTCCTAACGATAAAAGCGACTCCAGAATGGCTGACACTGTATCTATAGTTGATCGCAATGCAGACGCTGACGGCTTGGTTACGGCAGGAATGTCAAACAACTGGGCAAGTGTCTCAAAGAATATTAAGCACTTGTTGTCGTACACCCTCTTCAAACTTTCTAACGCCTTTGGATAGTTGGCATCTGACATTTGGAACGCCTTAACGGTTCCCAAGGCTTCATCGGACAAGCACGATATGAGATGGTTGAACTTCTCTATATTGGACAACGACGGGTCGGAATCTACCAAACTTTCAAACAGACTAATAAACTGTTTGTAATCCGCATGCTTGCCGTTGAACTTCGGCAACTTCAATTTTGGCAAATTGGAGTGGTGGTGTGTGGGTGCTGAATTCATGTATGGTTGAGGGGATCTGTTGGTCGCTGCCGACATGTACAGAGCCTTTGTGATCACACACGTTTCTTCCAACGCCGCCCTATCTGAATTATCTGGGTCTAGTACATCGATCTCGGACTGCAAGGCCATTGCTTTTTCAATATAGGAGTTCAATATTTCAAAACGACATTGGATTTGTAATGGATCCAGCGAAATTGAACCCTCCTCAAATGCTATCCTCATTCGATTTATATCTTCGCTTATCTTCTTCAACCTCACATACAATTTTGTGAGCTTCGTGCTTCCACACATTCCGCTCCCAGTTGCCTTCTCTTCATCATGATCTTTGGACATGTTGATTAAATTACCAACGTTGGCTGTTCCTAACTTCTAAACTTCAAACTTGCTAAGCGAAGGCGACGATAACCTGAGGAAATGCACTGCCTTCAATGAGAACAATGTTTGACAGTACGGCAAAAGTATTCAAGTACCCACGTATAAACGTATTAGGTTCGATGCGACACGACTGCAACAGTTAGAACGCAACAAACGCAACCGAGCTCTGTCACGGCGAACCAAACTCGACCCACGTTCGATCCCCTACGAAACGGACGTCTGGAGTTCCAATGCGCGCAACGCTAAGCTAAGCGTACGCAACCAACACCAAGTTTGGCTCGACACACTGAGCTCGAACCAAGTTCGAACCAATAAGCAAACGCAATTCTAATGCGCGCAACGCACTCGACTCCCAAATTAGAACAGCGTTCGACCCGAAAACTAAGTGGCGAACGATGTTTAATTGAGTGGCGCAATATAAGAGCGGATGATCAGCTCTCTGGCGCATACGGCAAGCTCGGCGACACCAGCTAGAAAATTAGATGTCAAAGCGCACACAAATACCTAAATTAGAACAGCGTTCGACCCAAAAACGAAGTGGCGAACGATGTTTCAATTGATTGGCACAATATAAGAGCGGATGATCAGCTCTCGTCACAAACGACAAGCTGGGCGACACCAGTTGGAGAGTTGGATAACCACGAAGCTGCGGGAGCAAAGTTACGACGAGGGTACTGCACGAACGTAAACTTAAGAGAACCGTATGCTGTACATTAAAGAGCGCGAAAATTAGTTTACCGCTGCAAGGGTCAATGTTTTCTCAGCGAACGAAACGAAATGAGAAATAATGCTACCAAATGCGAAATGAGCGGTAAACTATGTCGTTGGCGCCTTCTAATACTCTTCCCGAACTACCCAGCTATCACGAATAGTTAAACGGTAGGTGAAACGGTATGTACAATACTGTTCAATGCCAAGCCAATAGGTATTACACGCTATTATTTTAGCCGCTATTGCTTTGGCATTGTTACCTGGTCGTCGGATGAATCCACTTCCCTGGGCGTTGGCAACTCAATGTCCATGTTCTGCTTCGGTTGTAGGTGTGGATGGCTGTCTCCAATGTGGTCTTCCGTGGATTCCGTGATCTTCCTTCTGGATTGTCGATTGTTGGCTCGGCGGTTTTTTCGCGGCTTTAACTCGCGAACAGCGTTCTGGTCGAACAACGATTAATTTAAAAACGAAACTAATCCCAAGGTCCCTGCTCGGGCGCCATGTAGAAAATTCGAAACTATTTTTGTTTGTTTGTTTGATGCCCTTACTTAGGCTTGAGACGCGGGAATTAGCAGTACAGACCAGAGCTGTGGGCGGCGATAAAGGGCGATCAAAAAATAAACCGTGCGAAACGAAGTTCAATTTACGAGTGCTTTATTCCCACGCATCGCTTGTCGGCTATGCTGCAGGCGTGTAGTTACATGTTGCTTGGATTTACAGTGGCGGGACTTCATGACGTAACCTTACGAACTATATTACATTTCATACATAACTTCCATGCTTTCTACTTATTGACTATTTTTCTATGGTGTAACGACAGTCTCTTTCTTCTGCCTGCTGCATGTGAATATTTACATGAATATAATACCATATACTCTGTAACAAACATGGGATCCAACATTGTTTCTGATACTAGATTTTTGGCTCTGAACGATAACATTTTTTTTATTTTTTTAATGGTTTTCTCTTTTTTATAATTTTGAAAAATGCGGTGTGTTTTTTAATAGTTTCGGTTCAAGTTTTAGGAAGAAGAGGCACAGAAAATAAAATATCGGACGAAATGTCACTTCATTAGCAACAACTACATCTAATAACAATACAAGGATGAAAATATCAAAGGCAACAAAAAACAAAAGAATTCTCAAGCGTGAAGGGATGTGTGGGTTGTGCGATCGAGCAATGCGAGTGCGCAGAGCGCTTCTCCCTAGTTATTGTATATAATATTCATATTAATACGTTTTTAACGTTTAAAGCAGTGCTCGCATACAGTGCCCGTTTTAAAGTGCGCTTGTGTATTTAGCTAAAACCCGAAGATGCCTGAGATCGAAAACGTTTTATGCTTTACACTGCGACAAACGATTTGTAGTAAGAGTAGCACTTATTTCGTGCTAATACTTTCGTGTAAAATTAAAATTGAAAAAAATAGGCAACAGGCAACATAATAACATATGACGTATTGCGCATATTTTGGATGAAGAAAAAGTTTTGTTCCGATTTAGTAAAAACAATCAAATTACACCTATACGTCAACGAAACGTAAGACCTGGTAGAAACATTCCCGCAGTCCTTGAGTCTTTCTCAAGGGTGCATTAAATTTCATTTCGACGAGACTTGGTCCACCAATGTCCAAAATCCAATCGCCCAATAGCTAGGTAATGACAACTAGATTCACGAAAGGGACTGCGATTTTATTATTGAGGATAATTTTTCGATTAACGTGTCAACAAGTTGTGTTCTCCCTCCCGATGCCAACCCAAGCAAACGTAGTAAACAGTATATATAAACACAATAGATATCATCTTCAAGGGTGTAAAAAGGCTTACCTTTATAAATGATGGTAAGCTCTGACGGATGTAATCCATATTGTTAATTGCTAGACATCATTCTTCTGATAAAACTAGCAGGTCAAAAAAATTAATAAATGAAATTTAAGTTAAAGCTTACTTAAAATCTTGTTATTATCCCCAATTAAGTTAACTTTTCGACTCTTTGTGACATTCGTTGAGCATAGAAAATGCAGCATCGACATAGATCCTATTTTAAATAGTTGATAATACGTTTAGAATATGGTTTTGTTACATGTGGTTTAGATCTTACGTTTACAATTTTAGCTATAAATATATAGGAGCCCTCAATTTCTGGCCTTTTTGCCAAAATATTTTAATTTGATAAAAAATTGAGAGAGTATCCACAGCAGAAGAGCTGTATTTTACGGTTTCGTCGACCGCCTTTAGTTGATCCAGATCTATAGCTTTCTGGATACGATTGAGGGCCTTTATTATTGAAATGTCAAGCCAGTGTGTCACACTTGTCTCGAACCATTGATAAAATCCACTCATTTCCAATTCATCGGTACACAATGATTCTCCTATAATATAAAAATAATAATTTCATAATACATATCTTATTTATATTCCAAAAACCAAGACAGGCTAGCTTCATGCCGAAGATTTGTATACCCTTGCAGATTAATCCTTTCTGCGGGTGCTCTGTAAATTAGTTATCTAATATTGAAAAAAACACATGCCACAAAAGTTGTATAAATTGGCTTGTTTGATATTGGTACATATGTACATACATACATATTTAGTTCATAAGGGATTTTCCATGATGTCAAACGGAACCACCAGACACATTTAAAGTGAAAAAAGTAAAAGCCTATATTTTTAAAAAGGGCTAACATTGAAAAAAAAAACCCATTCACATGTGACAAAAAAGAAGTGGTGTTAAAAATCAAAAACAATTTAAAAAATAATTGGAACTCATGTTTTTGGAAATGTGTTTACAATTATTTAAATCAAATATTACATTTGCTTTTATGTTTCCGGTGGACCTTTCGGTGGATCTTCCCAATTTGTATGTATTTTTAGTACTTCGAAACTTTTGTTTCCGAAAGAAAAAATAAGGAGATATGTGGGTTTGCACAAAACAGAAAAACTTTTGATGTTCTTAAAAAATGTAAATTGGTCGCAAATGCATACTTCTTTGGCTTAAAGATAAAGTTTTACCTAGTTGGACGTATCGCTTGAGCACCAAATAAAGTTCAAATAATGCTGTTCCCATATTCAAATTATCGATTTTCGGCAATTATTCGAATTGATCGTCTGGAACATCCAATCATTTAATGTTAATGATAATTTGATAATTGATTTACAGATTTTATTCAGCTTTGAGTCATATAATAAATAAAGGATAGCTGAATAGTTTAATTGAATTTTGCTGAAATTAATAATGTAATAAAACAGTTAACAACAATACAGCTATGTAGGTTATTTTTATACCCGTACTCAAAAAAGAGTTAAGGGGTATATTAGATTTGTGGTAAAAGTGGATGTGTGTAACGCAGAGAAGGAAACGTTTCCGACCCCATAAAGTATATATATTCTTGATCAGCATCAATAGCCGTCTGTTCGTCTTGTTTGACGCCTGGATCTCAGAGACTATAAGAGCTAGGGCAACCAAATTTGGTTTCCAGACTCATGTGATATCACACTGCTACAAGTGTATTTCAAAATTTCGCCCCGCCCCCTTCCGCCCCCACAAAGGACGAAAATCTGTGCCAGCCACAATTTTAAAGATACGATAAAACTAAAAACGCAGTATAGTAGAGAATGCCCATATCTACCAGATTGCCGAATCTGAATCAGATCGGATCATAATTATAGCCAGAATGACGAAATTAATTTTCAGTTGCTTCCCCTGCCCCCCTCCTGACAACGACAACGCAACTCATTTTCCTTCTCGCTCGCACACTCTGCCGCGTTCAGTGCGCGAGCAACCCCTAGCGGAGGAGATGTAGAATCTAAATGGAACACGTACAATTTACATGTTAGATGTAGAATAGACATTGTATATGTAGATGTAGATAGCAGATGTAGCAATAAAATGTAAAATGTAAATTTTTTTTTTTTTCCAAAATTCTACAAAATCATAAGCTGTATATACTGACTGAGTACGGGTATAAGTAGAGCCGTGTCCCCAGAAACGACTCACACGTTCCTTCTCGTTATAGTTTTAAAGTTGGCCTTACAGCTTTTTTTAATTTCCCACAATTATTTTAAATAGTCAGAACGTGTGTCAGAACGTGTTTGACAATACCTGGTACTCAGTCATTAACGAGCAGGAACGTGTGAGACGCTTATGGGAACGCGACTCTACTTGTATACCCGTAATCAGTCAGTATATACATTTTTGAGCTTATGACTTATGTAGAATTAAAAAAAAAATTTTAATTTTACATTTTCTTGCTACATCTGTTATCTACATCTACATATACAATGTATACTCTACTTCTACAATTTAGGTTGTACATCTACCATTTAGATTCTACATCTTCTCCACTATAGAGCGCTCGGGCACTGCAAAAGGCAGAGTGTGCGCGCGAGAAAGAGAATGAGTAGCGTGGTCTCTTGCTGGAGGAGGTGGGGGAAGAAACTGAAAATTAATTTCTTCAATCTGGCTATAATAATGAGATCTAGACGGCAAGCAAGATGGACAGACAGACAGACAGAGACTCGGCTATTGATGCTGATCAAGAATATATATACTTTATGGTGCCGGAAACGTTTCCTTCTCTGCGTTGCACACATCCTTTTTTACCACAAATACAATATACCCCTTAAATCTTTTTGAGTACGGGTATAGAAAAGATGTAAATAAAAAATGTAAATAAAATATTGCGTGCACTTGGACCAGGTGTCACGATGGTGATGGTGGAAACATAGAGAGAGATCTAATCTGCTTTTAGCTGTTTCCGTACGTTTCAAGGCCTCAAGACAGGATTTCCTTATTACTATATTTTTTGGGCTATATTGTAAGTTTAAAGTACGAGGTAGTGATCTACTCATCCAGGTATACAGCCTAATTTTTGGCTCGTGCAAAGTAAATATAAAAGTTGCGCATTTGTCGCCCAGTGTTATCACTGAAAAGAAAATCATAGTAAAAATGTTAAAATAAGTTAACCTTAGCCTACTGGTATAATTATTTTTGCAAAACGGATGTAGAAAAAAATGTAAGCAAATAAAATATTTTCAAATTCAAATATTTATATACTGACTGAATACGGGTATAAAAGTAGAGTCGCGGCCACTGCAACTTACAACGTTCCCTCCTGTTTTTATTACTCATACGTAATTAAAATATAAATAAGTGGAATAAAAAAGGTTATACGATCTACATATAAGATTTGTATAGATATATGTATATATGTATTGTTAGACGATATCTTCACTACTTTCGACGATATTAGATTTTATAAGCTACATTGGCCCTTTCACAGGCTAGATACAAAGTCCTGTGCTGTGTCAACACACACATGCAAGCATAATTGCCATTACTCATGTGGTTTTTTGAGCATCAGAAAATCACTTTTTAGATATGCAATTTCATTACAATAATTAAGACTGCTGAACTTTTTTGGGGCTTTGAATCTTAATTATCTTAATCTTTTTAATAAATATAAATATAATAAACAATACATATGTAAAGATAGATGTAGTACATTTTTTTTTTTAACTTGCTGGTAAAACAGTTTATCGAAATATTCTATTGCGCGCTGAAGGTCATACCGGATCATTTGAATGAGTTTTATGATATACTGCAATTTTTCTTCATCCTTCATGTTCCTGCCATTCTTTCGTACCGGTATTGATAGCATCTATTATGGCAGAATCAATATTGCATATGCTTTGAGCATCATTTCTATGAATCCAACCGTACACAGACGTTGGAAAAATATCTATAGTCACTGGAACTTCAAAAAGTTTAACTTTTCCCAAAATATCTAGAACCTCGCTTACAGCTCTTGTTACGTTCAGATCACTGACGTTTTTATACCGTATCTTTCGTAATACTGCAAAACAAGAGGGAAGTATACGCCTTACTCCATCCCAATATGTAGCAAGATCTTCTGAATCTTTCTGCATACATCTAATTACTGGAGTCAATATGTCGAGTATAGAATTAAATAGTGAAAAATTCAGTTTGTGAGTTTCATGTATGATACTATATGCATGCCATTGGCTAATGGCACAATCAACAGAGGTCAATCCACTTTGAACGGCATGTTGGGATCGGATAACTTCAGCGTTTGCGCTAAATTTTCCATTCCACCAATAATATGCCACTTGCGAGGTTTCCAGCTCATAGATCAATAATAGCTTTAGTACATTTTTATGCTCCTGTACGGCCACGCTCTTGTTCTTTTCAGCGCTCAGGGTGAGATTTACTAAAATTGATCCTCGACTTCGAGCTTTATTTCCTTTTTCTAGATTATACCAAACTGTTAGTCCACAAACTGGAATAGACTAATTAAATAAAAAACAGTGAATAAAACAAAAAAATCAAAATAATATACATAGTCCAGTAGTGGTGGATTAAAATGGTATAGAAATTAAGGCTTTTTTGCTAAATAAAATACTCTGTTTCCAGATTGGAGTTTATAATACGGTCTTTTAATAGACTTTTAATTTAGTGCTCTAGTGTTATTGCTCTATTCTCGGTGTAGTGTCAATCGATCCCATGTGTGCTAAGAAAGAGTTATGCTGGGTACAGTCTGCAACTAGCTAGAAAAGTACTTATAATGCTCTTATTAGCAGCCATGCTTATTCAAAACTGAATTGCTCAATCACATATATACAAATTTGTATTAGCGGGAAAAATTTAGGATAACAATAGATGACTGATTGATGCATTGACATGGATTTGACACCATTACCAGTGCAATTGAGCTTGTGCCCTATTTATAAATAATTTTTATTTACACCAACCTCAAAATTGGTCTGCGCTTGTTGCGCATTCACTAAATGTTGTTCATTTAGTGAATTCGTGCGAACGCTATCGCAGCCCGATTTGATTATCGATAGATCTAACAACAGCACATTTTTACATATGACTCTTGGCTGAAAATGTCAAAAGCAAAAGTAAGTGAAAGCCGGCCTGCCTGAATATTTTTATTTCTTATCCCACTTCAAATTTTACTCTACCCAAATAAACAACACCAACAAAAGACGGCGAATTCCCGTCGACAGATCAAATATCGATATCAATATCGATCATTCCTTAATTTACGAATTTTTCGTTTTCGTATCATATAATGCGATTAACTAAACGATGGAATATTTTTTTGTTTTGTCTGGACGTTGATATGCAATGACTGCACCATCAAGTGGCCCATGCGACACCAAGCCGAGGCCTGTTACGCGCGGAACCCAGGCAGAAACTCCCAACCGACCGAGGGGCGCTCCCGCATGACGCGCGACGCGTGTTACCGAACCGATCGCGAGCATGCAGGAAAGATAGGTGTTAGACTAAAATTCGAGGAAAATTAGAGCTAAACACAACTCAAAGGGCTACGGCTCGAAAAACTCTGTTTCGTGGATAGTTTACCGTAAACTTGACAATCACATAAATAAACTAAAAATTAAACAAAAACGAGAAGGAACGTGTGAGTCGCTTCTGGGGACGCGACTCTACTTATACCCGTACTCAGTCAGTATTTACATTTTTTAGCATGATTTTTTAGAATTTTAGAATTTAAAAAAAAAATTGTACATTTTACATTTTTTTGCTACATCTGTTATCTACATCTACATATATTATGTATCTTCTACATCTAACATGTATATTATACATGTACCATTTAGATTCTACATCTCCTCCGCTAGGGGTTGCTCGCGCACTGAACGCGGCAGAGTGTGCGAGCGAGAAAGAGAATCAGTGGTTAGTTTTCTTGCCGGAGGGGTTGGGGAAAGCAACAGAAAATTAATTTTTTCATTCTGGCTATGATTATGATCCGATCTGATTCAGATTCGGCAATCTGGTAGATATGGGCATTCTCTACGATACTGCGTTTTTAGGTTTATCGTATCTTTAAAATTGTGCCTGCCACAGATTTTCGTCCTTTGTGTGGGCGGAAGGGGGCGGGGCGAAATTTTGAAATACACTTGTAGCAGTGTGATATCACATGAGTATGGAAACCAAATTTGGTTACCCTAACTCTTATAGTTTCTGAGATCCAGGCGCTCAACAAGACGGACAGACGGACGGACGGACAGACAGACATGGCTATATCGACTCGGCTATTGATGCTGGTCAAGAATATATATACTTTATGGGGTCGGAAAATTTTCCTTCTCTGCGTTACACACATCCACTTTTACCACAAATCTAATTTACCCCTTAACTCTTTTTTGAGTACGGGTATAAT